TGCAGCTGCTCCTGCCCCAGTGCAGCTGCTCTACCCCACTGCAGCCGTTCCTGCCCCACTGCAGCTGCTCCTGCTCCACTGCAGCTGCTCCTGCTCCATTGCTGCTGTTCCTGCTCCATTGCAGCTGCTTCTGTCCCACTGCAGCTGCTCCTGCTCCACTGCAGCTGTTCCTGCTCCATTGCAGCTGCTTCTGTCCCACTGCAGCTGCTCCTGCCCCACTGCAGCTGCTCCTTCTCCATGCAGCTGCTCCGCCCCACTGCCGCCATTCCTGCCCCACTGCAGCTCTTCCTGCCCCACTGCAGCTGCTCCTGCCCCCTGCTTGTCTCCTCCCCAAATTCCAGCCCTGCCAGCACAGATGAGCCCCCCAGGAGCCACAGGAGCAGCAGGAGGGATGGCACAGTGGCTGGGCAGGGTGGCAGGCTCCCCGCCTGGCTGGCTGTTAGGGGAAGGTGATATTTTGCTGTGGGCAATGAGAACTAAAGGAAACAATTAAAACTAAATAGGCTGGAACCGAGCGATTTTTCAGCTTTCCGCTGTGAAGAAAAGGAGCTCCTTTGTGAGCAGTGAAATCCTCCTGGCAAGCTGTAGAATCCCACCTGATGAAGCCAAAAAGCTGCACAATTGAAATGCAGAAGAGATGCAGGGTGGAAAATCCACGGGGATGGTGACCTTTGCTGCCACCAGAACCAGGCCATGAGCACAAGGCAGGCAGGGCTGGGGGTGCTTTGGGGACCCAGCTGGTGCTGTCCTCCCTATTACCACCCTATTACCCTGTTACCAACCCCCTGGCCAGTGCTGGGGCTACCCCTCCTTCCAAGTGACAGCCCTGGAGGAGCCAGGTCCAGCCTGCAGCTTGCAGGCACACCAAAGGCTCTGGAGATGCCAAATCTGAGCCTTTCCCAGCCTTTCTGTCAGGCTGGTCCCAGGGGGAAGCAAACTGCCTGTCAGGAAAATGAATCCACAAACACCAGGGGTTTATGTCCAAAAAGGAGACAGAGGGGTCCTGTAACTTTATTGGAATAAAAGGAGAGGCCATGGGGCATTCTCCTGAGATCTCCCAGATTTTTGGAGGATGCAGCCTCCCTTTTTATCCCAATTTCCCAGCCCCATTTCCCTCTCTCTTTCCCCATGGGCTGAGGTACTTGAGAGGTGCAGACTTCCTGGAATGCCTGATACCTGAAATTCCCCTCTAATGTACAACCCTCCCTTTTAATTTTTCATTCTTATGGAATTCATGGTTTCTCTTCATTGCTTCTTTCATCTTTCAATATCCAATTTCGTTTATCAGCAAACCTGCAGTTTGTTTGTAAAGGCAAATATCTTTTTTTTTTTTTCATTCATCAATCAGTGGAATCCTTCCCATTGTTCCTTTTGTCTCTCAGTGCTGGTTTTTCTACCAGCAGACCCACAGCTTGTTCCCTCATTCCTCTCACTGCCCCAGTCCTGCACAGGCACAGGGGATCTGGTATCACTGCTGGGCAGTGCCCAC